GCTTTAGACACATTCCAACTTGGAATCGCACCCACATGTGAGATTCAGTCCCCCTTTGCTGTTATAATAAGCTCCGCTCTTCTGGGAGGGCTTTCCACTAGATTTCGGAGCGTGGCTGTGGGGATTTGTGTTCATTCAGCCACAAAAGCATTAGTGAGGTTGGTCACTGATGTCTGGCGAGGAGGCCTGGGGTGCAGTTGGTGTTCCAGTTCATCCCAAAGAAGTTCGGTGGGGATGAGGTCAGGGTTCTTTGCAGGTTAGCGCTCTGGACTCTGAAATCAGCGAGCCGGGTTCAAATCTCAGTGGAACCTGCATTGCCTTTATTGAAGGGGAATAGGAACCAATTCTGCAACTTGGGCTTTGATTACAACATCATAGTCTCTGACCTATGGTATAATCCTGCCTTGCCAGATATCAGTGACAATAATGGTTAGAACTCTGAATTCAGTGATCTGAGTTCAAATCTTGGTCGAACCTACAAAGCCTTTCAGATTCCAAACACTTGTAAAAATGAATATAGACCAAATTCAGTAGAAGATGAATATCTGCAAGCCCGTGTCCACATTGGCTGAAATATCATGCCTGGGGGAGCCATAGACTGGAGCTCTGATGGTGGAAGGTTTGTGCTTACTCAATGTAATGTGCAGAAGCGAAAATAGCTCAGGTGGGAGCGCACTGACCTGAATATTGATTAAATATCAGTAAAAGCTGTAAAGTCTTTACTCAAGGTTCTTTACTATTGTACGAAGAAGATGAATTATCTCAAAAAGCTTGTACCTGGTTTTGGCATTGGATGCCATGTTTTGATTACAATATCTGAGGCACTGACCTATGGGATAATTGCTGCTTGCTGGATGCTGGTCAGTGTATGGTAGTAATCAGCTGTTGAAAACAAAGTCCTCAAAGTCCTCAAAGCGCCTTGGTTCCATGGTGTAATGGTTAGCACTCTGGACTCTGAATCCAGCGATCCGAGTTCAAATCTCGGTGGAACCTGCAGCGTCTAAGTTCAAGGTTTGGTTTTAAAGTAGACGCTTTAGCTGAAGTGTTGGTTTGTGCCAAGTAAGCTTTCGTGTCATAAACTCTCGTAAAGATGAGTATGGAGAAAATTCTGCAACTTGGGCTCTTTGTTTGTTACAATATCTTAGTCTCTGACCTATGCTATAATCACAGCTTGCCAGCTGTCAGTGACAAGGGTTGAGGTCAGGGTTCTTTGCAGGACACTCGAGTTCTTCCACTCCATCCTTGACACATCATGTTTTCATGGAGCTCGCTTTGTGCACAGGGGCATTGTCATGCTGGAACAGGTTTGGGCCTCTTAGTTCCAGTGAAGGGAAATTGTAATGCTACAGCACACAAAGACATTGTATATAATTGTGTGCTTCCATCTTTGTGGCAACAGTTTGGGGAAGAACCACATATGAGTGTGATGGTCATTCGTCTGCAAAATTTTGGTCATATAGTGTACGAATTCCCAAGTGATTATGACATTGTGGTAGTGTGCAAGTGCTCTCACCTGGACATTACGAGAATTCTGACTGGGCTTGAAGGCAGCACTGTGCTGCATTTGAAAAACTCAGAATTTCTGTCCTCAAACTAAGCTGTGAGCCAAGCCTTAAAAACGTTAATTTCATCGATCCCTGGCTCCCGAGAATGTTCTTTTTTTGCATCCGCATCTAAATTACTTCTGTTAACATGGTAAAAAAAGTCAAGATTTGTGCACATTTTTTTTAAACTGCAAAGTTTAAACTCGCAGGCTGTACAGGCAATATCTCAGGACGTGTATGTGGAAAGATCCAGTCAGAGCTTCTCTGGTACATCAAGAGAAAGAAGGCCAGTCAGCTTTACTTGGTGAACGAGACAAAACCATAGTGTAAACATTACACATAGGAATAGTAGAGCACCGTAACAACACTTTTTACTGCAAAATTATGTTTTTTTTAATAAGGTATGCAAGACCAAGGATTAGTATGAAGTGACTTGTCTTACATCTTCTAAACACGTCTTTCTCACATTACTCATCATGTCTACCTCAGAGGCAGCAGAAGCAATAACACTTATAAATATATAAATTTATAAATATAAATAACTTACTTTTTATATACATGAAGAGGGACATCATAGTCAAATTGAATGCCTGTGTTTAAAAT